CTTAACTTTTTATAATACACATATGCGTTTCACAATCTATTTCATTTCCTCTTTTCGTGGTCTCACGACGATCCATTCATTCTTAAAAGCTGCACAGGGGAAGCACTGGTCATTTCGAGGCATAATCAAAGTCATCCCGAATTTAGCAGATTGCAGCATTCAGGTTGATTCTGGAACAGCAGGTGGCGAAGGTGTGATGGAATTCAGAAAGAGTAGTAGAGGAGCCAAGAGATGCCTTCTAAATTACACGAGCGCCCCAATTCGATATCACCGAATGCTTTATGCAGTCAAATTCGCTATGTATGTGCACCATCACAACTTCAAGGACAACTTCTTAGTACTTCTTGTAGACACAGATCCTGTCAGCAAGGCCAGCAATGCGTCCTTTATTGAATTTTACGCAGAGATAAATCGCGCTAGCCGCCACAGTCCATGCCTTTTGTTCTTGCCTCGTATCCATGCCTCGTCACTAGTTTCAGTTCACAAGTATGAAGAACTTTTCTTAAAAAGTTAGCGATGATTTCTAGAGAATTTTTATTTGTTGGCAACATTCCAACATGTGAATTCCTGACGTGTGTGGGGCAAATTTCTTATTTCTCACATCCATCTGTGAGTTTTTTATCCGTGAGCAGTCTCTAATTTCAATGCATCGCTTTTCAGATCCGCTTCAATTACTCCTCATGCACTCATTGTTCATGAAATATCGAGTAAATTTCAAAAAACTTCGGAAAAAATTTCAAAAATAACACTCACGCCTTCCGCGTTGCTCTCAGATCTCCTTTGTGTCTGTGTTTTGGCCCGATGAAAGCGTGGCCTGATGTCCTGTTGTCGATCGGGCACGGCGCTGTCCTCCTCGTCGACATTACCCTTAACAGAAGGCAATACAGATTTGACAAATGCACAAATCCACATCCTACACGGGGGATGTGAGAGCACGAGAGACGAATTATACCTTAAGAACAGCAACATCGACATCCGAATACCTCATGCATTTCACCAGCACAGGGATCAACTTGGGCAGATGCGGCAACAACGTTTCCTTACATACTTGCGGATTTTCTGCTAAAGCCAACCAAAATTCACAAGCTTCCAAAGCTGTCGATTCATTTGCGTCCTGCAAAAACGGCGTGAGCTTAACGTTGCTGCTGCTGCCAACAGCTCATTTCTGAATATGGAAAAAAAAACAAAAAATCGCAGACAGGTCATTTTGGGTACCTGTGTCCTGAGAAGCATAAACTCCACGATGTTTCCCAGTTGAGAAGCGAGCTTATCAAGATGAGAATCGAGTAGTAACGTTAGTGAACGACAAAGCTGTTTTTGCACTTCCTGAAAATAGCTACTTGAGAAAAAACCTGGAGCCAATGAATGAAGAAATACAGTGAAAAACACTCAAAAATTTAGGCCTGCTTCTTATTTTTTCGAATTTTTACCAAAAATCACTTGAGACCGGGCGTAATTTACATGCATGTGCATGAACAGTTACGTTGACTGCGAATGTCTTTGCAAACTGTCTTTTTCCGATAGTATTCCCGTACTGTAATCCGCGGCATCTCCCCCCACTCCTCCCCCCCCCCCCCCCCCCCCCCCCC